GCACAGGCTCTAGGCATGTGGGCTTCAGTAGTTGTGGCACGTGGGCTCAGTAGTTGTGGCTCATGGGCTCTAGAGCGCAGGCTCAGTAGTCGTGGTGCACGAGGTTAGTTGCTCCGCGGCATGTGGTATCTTCCCGGCCCAGGGCTCGAACCCGTGTCCCCTGCATTGGCAGGTGAATTCTTAATCACTGCACCACCAGGGAAGCCCCCTAGCTCATTATTCTTAAGAGGAGCTGTCTTTCGGAGTGCCTTTAGGCTTGAACTTTCCTACACACTTTTCAAATAAGGTCCATTCCTTTGGGAAGTGCTTTGAAACTTTTTCTTATGGACTGCCTCTCCCCCCTGGACAAAATGACCCACTGCTCTGGGTGCTGGGCACAAGGAGAAGAGCAGCTTGCTTTCCCAGGGTGGAACCTATGCCCTGTGAGTGAGCTGGGGTGAAGGTGGTTGGAGTCCCAGAATTCTTGGGCTGCTGTTCCTGGGAGAGAGTCAGGACTGGGTGGGTACAGACTGGGTAGAGGAAGGGAACCCGAAATCTCTCAGCCACACTCACCAGGAATTTAAATTTAGCCTCTTTGGCTTGGAGTTGGAGCGGATGGAAAATGCTGGCAGCTTACCCCTTTCAGCGAGTTGTAGTAAACCTTGGCTGGGAGCTGAGGAGAGGGAGCCCTGACTTCTTGGCTGTATTTGCCTGAAGTGGGACTTTCATCAAACTGAGCTGGAGTGGGGGAGGGAGAAGGTGGTGGTCCAATTGCCACAGACTCTCAATTCTCTTACCAGGTTTTACTAGGTTTTCTTGAATGAATGTTTCCTTGTTTGGTGCATGCCCTTAGAAGAATTTCCAGAGACTTTGAGTAGTGTTTTATGGTTTCCACAAGCTTTGTTTTGCTAGGCAGTGGTCCATGGAGTTCTTCACACTGACATCCCCAAGTGGAACCAGGTTAATTATTACTTATATAACAACTACATCAGTCCTGGGGCAGCTCTATGAGAAGCAGTTGGAAAAACCTCCCACACAAGTGGCTGCACATTCCATAGGTGTGGGAGTGAGAAAAATTGATTTTCCCTGCTTATACAAAGAAGTTAATTGCCCCTCCTTTACTTCCTGAAAGGAGAAAAACCTTTGCTATTTGGAGACAGGATGGAAAGCACTCTGGGTTCTCTAACTTTTTGCAGTGTAAACACATCTTTCCAGCAGTCAGATAAGCTCCAGTTTTTTGACTGGAGATGTCTCCAAGGTCCTGGGCCTCATTTTCCCTTGAAATATAAACACATACCTCCAGAGTTGGGTGAATCTGTGGAGTTCACTGTCTGTATAGTTGCAAATTAATTTTGTAAGACTTGCTCTTAGCCCAGCATCCCAAGTTTTCAGAAAATTTATTTAAAAAACCCCAACTCTGCAGAAACACAAAACTATTTTCTCTCTACCCCACGTTTCCACCTCTTGTGTTTCTCCATAGTTGGCTACTGGTAAATTGTCCCATAACATGCCACTCCATTGGTCATTTTGTTTTAATCTGACCAGTGGGAGCTAGGACTAAATCCATTGGGTTTGTCTCATATAACTTTATTTTTGGCTGTGTTGGGTCTTCGTTGCTGCACGCATGCTTTCTCTAGTTGCAGTGAGTGGGGGCTACTCTTCATTGCAGTGCGCGGGCTTCTCATCACGGTGGCTTCTCTTGTTGCAGAGCACAGGCTCTAGGTGCACAGGCTTCAGTAGTTGTGGCTCGTGGGCTCTAGAGCGCAGGCTCCGTAGTTGTGGCTCGTGGGCTCTAGAGCGCAGGCTCCGTAGTTGTGGTGCACGGGCTTAGTTGCTCCGCGGCACCTGGGATCTTCCCAGACCAGGGCTCGAACCCGTGTCCCTTGCATTGGCAGGCGGATTCTTAACCACTGCACCACTGGGGAAGTCGCTGGGTTTGTCTTAAACAGCACTTACCCAGCAGGACTCCCAAGGGCAGAATGAGGTCAGTCCCATTGTATTGGTCTTAGTCTCAGCCTCCAAGGCTCCTCCTGGTTTTAGTCAGTTGAATGCATCTCATTTACCATAAAGGTCTACCTTAGAATGTGTGGTGGCTTCCTCAGGTTTCTGTACTAACGTTCCCTACCTGGCCTGAGGCAGACACCCAGGTAGAGCTGTATATATTAATGCTTTGCACAGACTTTGCCATGACCTGCAAGAAAGAAATCTGTGGCAAATTCTATCATCCATATAACTGGCCCCAGTGAGTTGCAGCTGCCCTGAATGCCTTTGAGGCTGAGGCAGGGTCATGAATCACATCAGCTAAAGTGAGGATAAATTTCATACCAGTTTTCTAATGGAACAACTCACATTGTAGGTAAGCTTCCCACAGAGTACATGTCTGAGGGCTACTTGGTCTACCTGGGGTATTTCCTTAAAGAGAATCTTTTTTTTTTTTTTTTTTTTTTTTGGCCACGTGGCATGTGGGATCTTAGTTCCGCCAACAGGGATCAAACCCACGCCCCCCTGCAATGGAAACGAGGAGTCTTAACCACTGGACCTCCAGGGAAGTCCCTGGGGTATTTCCTTAAACCCTTGAAAGTTTCTGATAACCGTCTCCAAATGTAAGTCAGTGTTTTTACCAGAGGTAAGTTAATGCCTGCATTTCATGCATACAGCCCCAGAGGGCACACATGGCACCCCTGGAAACAAAGAGTTTACAATTATTAGGGCCCCCAAGTGAGACTATACATCAGTTAGGCCGCACAAGTGGGCAGGATGCCTACTGGGGCCTCCGACCTCCCACCAGTGGATAAGTTTGGGCACTCTGCACTTCAGCCCAAATAATTCAGGTCAGTTCAGTTTTCAGTGCAGTTTCAAGCAGTCCTGCTTGCTCCTGCCACCAGTTCATCTGTCCCTGCGGTGCAGGTGACATCTGGAGGTGTTCTTCATGTAAGCACAGGAGCCGAGCCCGTCCCCTCCCGTCTGGTCAGTGTCAGGCAGCAGTCAGCTGGAATTTGGGAGTGTTCATAGCAGCAAGGAGGGTGGGTAGGAAAGGGGGCGCGGGGCAGCTGGTCGTGAGAGCAGCGAGGGGTGGCCTCCTTCTGGGAGGAGGGCTCCAGGAGCAGATTCTGAAAAACAGAGGTTGGTAATCCCTGCCCCCACCTCGCATCCCACCAGGTCTAAAGTTTTCCCTTCCCTTGCTTTTTTCCCCCCTTCCATTGTTACAAAATCAGTGTGTCTCATTACTGTAATTTCACAGGTTTCTTCCATCCTCCTCCTCTCTCACCCAGACCTTTCCTCCAGGAGGGTGGGTGCAAGAGAGGCAGAAAGCCTTCTCACAGAACGTTTTCACACAATTCAAACAGACTTAATTATTAAATCGAAATCTCCTGAGACCCTTTTCAGGCAAGCTGATCTGGGGTTATTGTTAGGGGACAGAGAGGAAGATACATTATGTCCAGAAGAATGGTCGGGGCAGAGTTTTGAATTAAAAACATTTTTTGAAACCGATCTATACGGCCCCTACCCTTAGAGAGAGGATCAGCCTTCCCTGGTGAACGCTGAATTGAAGAGTCAAGCTGCCTTACTGAGGTGTAAGGTGAAAGGTGAGTCAGACCAGCAGCTGATTGGTAGTGACCTCTGCCCGAACCAGAAAAGGCACAAATCACCCTGACAGCAAAAATCAGAAAGACCGAACCCAAAAAGCCAACAGCAGTGAGATCTTCCCAAGGGGGTGGATGGGCCCCGCTTCTTGTGATTTGACCTTCCTTGTCTTGCAGCTTCCCTAGGAGTCCCACCAGGAGAGTCAGGCTTTCCTGATCGGCAGCGACCTCTTCAGAGGACAGGCCTTTCCATAGGCTTCTGCTGTGCAGACAGGTCCACCAGCATTCATGGTCCATTTCCACAGCTCACAGCCCCACAAGAGGGTGTCTTCCGACAGTTTCAGAGTCGGAGTTGTGCTCACGGAGCAGGGAGACCACACTTGTTTTCAACTTAGCAGAGCTTGAAACCACAACAGGCTTCATTCAGTGAGCCTGGCCCAGGCAATTGAGGGAAACCTTGTGAATCCATGATTCCCCCGACTCCTCCCCAAACCAGCAGCTTTTCCTTGCTTGGGGCGGCAGAGGGGATAGCTGCCCCTTTCTTGTACAAAGCTAAAACTCTGCTTGGCTAGCAGGGCTTTTCTTGCAAGGACTTTTTTTTTAAAGCTCCTTTCACCTGTCAGTCACAGAGTTGACCCACAACTTCATGATACACAAATGGGTGATCTGATTTCCTCAAGAGCTCATGAGCAAGCTTAAAAGCCACTTTTCAAAAAGGCACGTATCTAGGAACATTAAGTGTACCTTAATCTGGAAACTGTCTCCCTTCTCCAACTCTCTTGGCATACTACCTTTCCTAAAGCAAACGTCGTAGCCAAAATCCAGTACAGGGACTTGTTCTGTCTGCCATACCTAGAGTCCATTAAGATTTCAGACCTCCAATTTGATGGTAAGAAGCCAGCAGCTTTCTCCTCACTGCCAGAACCTCTGGGTTAAGAGGCATCTGTTTCAGCTACAGATGGCAAAAAAACAAGGGAATTCCATTACCACTTCTTTTTGCATCTTTCTCTGATTGAGAGGAGGTGATCCCTCTCGCACTTATGACAAGCATATAACATCCAGATCAATTTCTGCCATACATTCAGATGCAGCAGCACAGAAACCAATGCAAAGCCATGTTGAAACTCTTTTTTCCCCACTGCAAAGTTTTGCACAAACTCCTAGCCTTTAAAGTCAGCATTTACAGGGATAAAAGTCACAGCTGCAGGGAGAAGCTGTTTCCTCACAGCTAGTGGGGAATGTGGAAGGGAGGCAAACTGCAGGCGGCAGGGTGGCATTTTATTTATTTATTTATTTGGCTGCATGGGGTCTTAGTTACGGCACGCAGGCTCTTCGTTGCGGTGTGCGGGCTTCTCTCTAGCGCGTGCGCTCTCTAGTTGTGGCGCACGGGCTTAGTTGCTCTGTGGCATGTGGGATCTTAGTTCCCCGACCAGGGCTCGAACCCGTGTCCCCTGCATTGGAAGGCAGATTCTTAACCACTGGACCACCAGGGAAGTCCCAGGGTGGCATTTTAGAACAGCGCTCTCCTTTTGCCCCCTTGACCTATGTGAGAAGGCTCCAGGACTTTTCTGCTCACTCACTGAGGTTTCGCTCTGTATTCCTCAGTATCTCCATTCATCCCGTGTCCCCTCCCCACGTGGCTACATGGTGCTGGTATCCAATGGAGCTCTCAATATTCCAGTCCCCCATCCACTCCCATTACCCCCTGTGTAAAGGGACTCATGTAGTGCCTTCTGAAACAGGAAGATCAGCTGGGGTAGAAAAGGAGCTAAGGATCAGTGGGGAGCAGAGAAGTGTCTTCAGGATAGCAATCCAGATTCTGTCCCTGCGGTACTGGGCAGGTTAGCTGTGTGGTCCTCCTAGACTTGCTCTGGCTGTGGAGCTAATTACCTCCCTCCTCTCCCCTGTGGGAGAGAGCAGCCTAAGCTTCTCTTGTCCCACCTAGAGTCCGCCTTTAAGAATTTCAGGGTCCAGTCAGAGGAGAGAGCAAAATCCCAAAGTGCCATTAGGCTGCTGTGTTTCAAGCCTATCTCCTAACACCCAGCTAACAAACTTCCTAATCCTTTCAACAGACCTGCTTCTGGTTCCCATGGATCTTCTTCACATCCTGCTAACCAGCCTCAGGGCTCTCATCTGTCTCTCCCAGTAAACCATGAGACACACAGAATCCCGTCATCCTTGCTACCAGAATTGTTGGGCCTTTACTATTCATCTTTATTAATTTCATTCTCAATGCACATAGATATTCTAGATCAGACAGATTAGTTATTATTTATGCAATAATTTAAAAATAATAATATTACGTAAGTAATTATAACTGCATCAGTACCCCTTGCCCCAGTGCTTACCTGGGCGATGCGATGAAAGCCAGATGGGAAAATCTCCAGCAGGGGTGTCAGGCACTCCATAGGTGAGGGGTGGAGAAAAGTGAATTTTCTTTGCTTATGTGCAGGAGAAAGAGGCACCTGCTTCCTTCTCTCCCAGAAAGAGGGAGAAAAACCTTTGTTGCATGGAGACAGGATGGAAGGATCCCAGGTTCTTCCTCTGACCTTCTGGAACATAAATACATCTCTGCAGGAGCCAGAACAACCCTGGTGGCTCCAGTTTTTATGACTTAGAGCTGACTCCAAGGTCTTGGGCCTCATTTTCGCTTGAAATGTAAACACACCATCCTGAGTTAGGTAAATCTCTCTAGAGTCATCTCACTATACAGTTGTAAGTTAACCTTGCTGAGGATCCCAAGTTTTCAGCATCCTTTATCCAGAAAACCCCAACTCTTCAAAGTCAGAGATTTAGCTTCTCTTGCTAACAGTTTGCTCCACTGGACCACGTTGGGAGCAGGACGGAGGCACCACTCCCAAGACCCAGCGGTTTGTGCTGCCCCAGGTAATTCCACGAGAACTGGCTTTGCTCTCCTGCCGTGTGAGCTTCAGCACCATGCCTTGGGCTGCCAGGCTAAAGCGTGAGGCAGCAGCGAGAAAGGGAGGAGGCAGCTTGGGCAAGAGGGTCGGTGAGCGAACAGGCGTTGAGGAAACCTTCCGCATGTGGGTAGTGGGAGTACTTTGTGTGCAGTGCTCGGGGGAGAGGATATTTCTTGAGTAAACAGAGAACGTCAGTGTTAGATTCCTAAAAAGGAAGATGAGGGGGCTGGGGAAGCAATAAGCTAGGAAGCAAGTGTATTTAAAAGGTATATTGATAAAAGCCACTTCCTCTGGAGAGAGGAGGGAGGAAGAATCTGTTCCTTCCCGAGGCTGGGGAGGGAGGGGCCGGCCTGATGCCAGGAGCTACAAATACCATCCCCCAGGACCCCTCCCTCTCCCAGGGGCCCAGGGGGACCCAGGGGGACCCGGGCTCGAGGTGGCATGTGCTACTGCTGGTAACGGGCTGAGCTCTGGCTGCCTCCTGTCCCCCTCCCACCCTCAATCTCCTCCCCCTCTGATCAGAAAGACCAAAGGGTCCAGAGGTCCTGAAAGTTGCCAGGAGCCTCCTGATTGCGGTCTTTGCTGGAGTGAGGTCCTGGATCCCTGGCCAATGGTTTGCGGAGGGGTGGGGCTTCCGGGGCTGGGGGCCGGGCACACACACACAAAAATAAATAAATAAAAAATTTTAAAAAAAGATGGTGGAGCCCCTTTTCTGGGCTGAAACCCAAGAGAGCGCTGAAGAAGGAGCATGTGCATTTGTTCTGCTTGGGGTTAGGGGGCCATGTCTGTATGGAAGGCAAAGCGGGGGTCAGGTAACCTCTGCAGATGGACCCTAGCGGCTTCTGCCTGGACAGCCTCACCACACGATGTGCACGAGGCCACACTTTTTCTCCCAGAACATAATCTGAGAAACCGTCTGGCTGCCTTGGGTCAAAGGTGCAGTAATGGATGGCTTAGTGAGAAGTAGGTGGTCAGCTCCTAGAAGCAGTGACCAGATGACCCTCACATGTAAAGATCATAGTGATCAAGACCTACGGCCTCTTTTAAGATTTCTCAGGGTGGTGACCTTTACATTTCACTCCTAAGGCCGTGACCTTGTAGAAATATGCTAAAGTCCCGCTGAAGTAGTCACATCTGCCCCGATGTAAGATGAAGCTTTCTGTGCTGAAGAAAAGGAAATTCACAATCTTAAAATCAAAAAGTTTATGTCTTTTAAAGTTTCTAACAGCCTAGAAGTGCTTCTTAGTAAAATACATTTATGTGAGTTGTATCCCCGGAGTGGCTTTTATCTTTTAAAAGTTAATATTTCAGGGGTCCAAAAGATAGTCTGTAGTCAACTTGAAAGCAGGCGGAGCATAGCAGACAGTCTGGGAGAAGTGAAAGAGAGTGTTGATGCAGAAACTCAATGATGCTTTCCAGATTTGGTGGGAGAGAGGGTGGCTGACCCAGGCAGAGCAGCCTGCTGGGGGGCCTGGCGAAGCACCTGTGGACACTGATAAGCCTCCCTGGATTCTGGGCAGATCCTGTTCATTTTTCTGAGTCACCCAACCCTCACCTCCTTCGGTAGGAGAGGAGCAGGTAAGGCTGTGATGTTTGTGATGCTTTTTTGTAAAGTGTGTGTGGGGGGTAAGAGGTAGCATTGTGTGTGTTTATCTCATGTTGCAAAGTAGAGCCCTGTCCCAGCTCCCTTCACACCACAGAACCCAGTCCTCTTTGGAGCGGGAGGCCTCTGCTGGGCTTAACCCACCACCACGCAGACCCAGCCGCAGAGACCTGGGACCTGGGTGGGTCCAGGCACTTTCAGGACCGAAGACAACTTTCTTCAACAAATGACAGGGATTACTCACCCCTCAAATATAAGTGGGGGTTATTCATTATTTGCCCCTTTAAATCTTGAGTTAATCTTACCTTGATGTTAACGGTGATATTGACTTACTGGCTCTATTTCACAAGACTTCCTTTCAGGAGAGATTGAAAGGCATCCCGTTCCTAGGGCTGTGACTGTAGATACCCATTTTGAGATCGAGCTGTAACAGCTGTGACAGTTCTTACCTTCCTCTCTGTGATTTCTACATGCAATAAGGATATCCTTTCTCATCCAGAGGAGAGTGCCACTGTAACCTTTTTAGTACAGATTTCCCCAGTTAAAAATTAGCAAAACTAGCTAAAGCTTCTGCATCTCTTTCTTCTCATGGCATGTCCTCGACTTGACGTGATTAAGGGAAAAGCAGCAGGGGCCCTGACACCTTTTCTGTAAATATCCATCAGTGTGACATTCTAGTTTCACAGCAGTTAAGCTGTTGACATAAAAGCATCCGGCTGGTATAAAATCCAGAAGCTTAATCAGGCCCTCGGCAAGACAAACATTTTGCACACAGCAGAAAATATGAGGAGGAGATGAATGTCTCTCTCAATACTTGACTAAGTATATTGGTTAGACATGTGTTGCAGATTATAGAAAACCCTCTAGAAATGGCATGAACAAATAAGGGGTAGATTTGCATCATCACAAGAAGTTTGGAGGTAGGCAGCCCCCGGGGGCCAGCACAGTCGCTCAGCAAGGCTGTCAGACACCAGGGCTCTTTCTTTCTTTCTGCTTTGACTTCCTTAGTGGGTGGTCTTTTGACATCATGCTTTGTCACCTCATGGTCACAAGGTGGCTGCAATCTCTTCAGGATCCAGGCTGGAAGAAAGAGTCAAGAATGAAAAGGGAAAATATGAGGGAAGGGCCTTTTCTTCATGAGGCCTCTTCTTCTGGCACTGGTAGCTGGCTGCCTGTATCTCGTTGACCACCATGGTGATGTCACATGCCCACTAGTTTTAAGTGAGGCTGGGAAATTAAGTAATATGCTTTCCTGCCTCCGCACTAGAGGAAGGCAAAGAAAAAGGTGACTGGGAAGGTGGGTTGAATGTGCCAACCTACAATTTCTGCCACAAGGGGTCACAGTAAAGTACTACTGAATGGAAGAAAACAGGGCTAGCAGTAGACCTTACCTACATAAATTGTTTTCTCCCAGGTGGGGAGAAGGTCATGGTCAGGACTGGTGTCTGACCAAATAGGCTATGGAAGTTGGGAAAAGAAGAGTCAGGATTGGCTAAGAAATCCATCCATGTGCAGAACTAGCGCCCTACAAGAAGCCCTCCAAGTACTAATAATGATGGAACGAGGGACGGTCAAGTTTAATATCCCTAATTTGGGAAGAGATGTTAAAGAGTGCTAATATCGGTAGGACTGATGTGTGTCAAATATTATTCCAGGTACTTATGGATGTTTTCCCACAGTAACGTTTGAACCAAATACTGTTGTTCATGTTGAACAGTCACTAATGAATACTCGAAGAGGGCACACAGTAAGTGGAAGTGGAGGATTTGAGCCCAGGCCTGCCCGACCAATTCCAGGACTCTCTTTCTTATCCCATGCGGCCTTAGGTACCCTGAGGCCCCACAGGGACAACTCTGGTTCATCTTCCTTATGATGGTGGTGCCCAGGCATCCACGAACTTCTGAGTGGGACCAGGAATACTGAGTCCCAGTCCTACCAGTTATAACCCTCATAGTGGGTTATGATTGCCTCCAACCACTGCTCTTCCTCTAGAACAGGAGCCCCCATGAGGGCGAGGACTGTGTCATGTTCACTGTCGTATCCCAACCTAACTGGCATAGAGTAGGTGCTCAATAAATATTTGCTGGATAAGCAATGATTGAAGGACTGTGCTATTACAATATCTGTATTATGAGTGCCTGATGCTACACTGTGGTAGCCACTCGTTAAATTTTTCTTAAGTGGTCCATGTAGGAAGGAGACTGTATCTCCAACTGACAGGTTTAGAGAACAATTCATGGGAGAGTCACTCAGCGTTGAGCCTGTCTTTGTGACAGGAGTTTGAAACACTGAGGCTTGGGGAAGAGTGCTTTAGGTGGAGGAAGAGGGGACAAGGTCGTAGAGATGGGAAAGTACAGACTATTCAGGGAGAGGCCAACCTGAATGGAGAGAAGTCACAGCTGAAGGGTAATAGTAGGTATGGGAGAAAAGGGATTGTTGCCAAATATGATTGGGAAACATTGGGTTAAATAAGCTAGGTTTTTTGTTACAATTCTCAGAGCCTTTAACAATGCTCCTGTGACTCCAAGCCTCATTTCTCAAACATTTGGCCTTTGGGGCCCTTTTCTTGCAGAGCATTTCATGGAATGAATTTTCCACAGAATGCATTTTGCGAAATGTTGATCTAGTTCAGCTCCACATTTATAGACAAGGAAACTGAGACCCGGAGAAGAGAGGTGGCTTATTCAGAGCCACATAGCAGAACTTGGATTAGAACCCAGATCAGATCACTTGACCTCCAGTATAGTGCTCGTTTGTAATGTGAAGACTATGTGTTTATAAAGGACAGCTTCTTCCTTACAGGGAACTTTTATTTATCTGTTATTCAGACAACAACCTTGGTGCTAAAATTTCCCCCAGTTTTGTACAGTGGTATTTTATATTCATCACCATGATGCTGAGCAGAGATGAGAGCTGCTGTCATTGCCTGTGCAGCCTCCAGAATCTTGGGAAGGTTTGTCTTAAATCAGCCCCATGTTTGCCTGGAGGGCAAAGAAAAGATGCTTTTTCTGTACAGCCATGTTTAAGGGGTTACAGGGACTGCAGAAGTTTACAACTTGTGCTTCTCTCCTCAGCCTTTTCTTGTCCCCAGCCTGCTGTGGTAGGCAGAATGGGCCCCCAAAGATGTCCACATCCTAATCCCTGGAACATATGAATATGTTACCTAATATGGCAAAAGGGACTTTGCAGATGTAATTAGGTTATGGACTTTAGGGAGATTATCCTGGATTATGTGGGTAGGCCCAATCTAATCACATGAGCCCTTAAAAGCAGAGAACTTTCTCTGGCTGGAAGCAGAAGCAAAACAACAGAAGGGCAAGCCAGAGAGAAATGAAGTATGAAAAAGACTCCATGCTGTCTTGAAGATGAAGGGGGCAACATGACAAGAAATGCCGGTGGCTTTAAGTTGCTGAGAGAGGCGCCATCAAAGGAACAGGGACCCCAGTCCTCAGTCCTACAACCACAAGGAACTGAATTCTGCCAAAAACATGAATAAGCATGGAAGCAGAGTCTCCCCTCCAATCAGAGCCTAGACCCTGAGTCCCGGAGCAGAGGAACCAGTGGAGCCCATCAGACTTCTGACTTCTAGGCTGTGAGATAATAAATTTGTGTTGTTTTAAGCCTCTTGTTTATTTTGACAGCCTTAGGAAACTAACACACCTAAGTCATTAACATATCCAAAGTGGAAGCTGTGAAGGGAATAGAGGTTAGGAAGGGGCACCACTGGGCTGAGGGCTTTGGGGCTGTGTGTGAATTAGTTTTTAGCATTTTTTAAAAAGATCAGTTGATTTGAGTCATTCACATCCTTCCCTCCCAGCCAGGCATCCCTGTATCTCTATGGCGAAAGGCTGCTGGAGGCTCAAAGGGCTCCCTGACAGGGCCAAGTACGTGTCTTTTCAAGCATATCTGTGCGCTGTGACAACCAGATTCTGAGGTCTCCTTCATAAATGGCCCAAGACCTTTGCAACTCAACTGCTGGCCAGTATTAGTGGATATATCACTTGAAATAAAGGGGCCTCTCATTTACTAATCCTGACAGGTTGAAGTGCTGTTATTAAAGATAGCACTAAGGGCTCCTGCTGGTGAGCAGCCCAGGCTTCTCTGGGAAGCCTGTAGCTTTTCAACAGAGGGCATTTCCCAGAAGGGGAGCCGTTTGTCTGGGGCTCCAAAATAAACATCACCATGCCGGAGAAGGAATTTCAGCTTCCATGGTAGATAACCCGACTACCCTTAGATCTACAGCCAGTTTCTGAGTCTTGGTACTCTTTTGTTTCTAAATGTGGAGGAAAGTGTTTGCATTCTTTTATTTTACTAAAATAAAAGGGAGACTTGGAGAGGGGCTCGGCTTTGCTGGCCTGAAACCTTTCTTCTTTTTGTTCCCATTTTGTTTGATTTTCTGAACCTATTTAAGGTTTTAACACAACAGATCTAATTATTTAAAGTCATGGAAATTTTTGCACAGCATCTAATCTCGGATGAGACGCATTGTTACAGAGTACTTTTCATTTTTTAAAAGCTCAGGATTAATTTTAATGTTAAAGAAATTTGGAAATTCTGTACTGGATAAAAGTGCAGTTTAAAATCAGGGAAGCTTCTTGGATTACTTAGGACAAAACATCCTTTTTTATTAAACTTGACTGTATCTGCAGGCTGTTTTATTCATGCTCTATTGTCATCTCTAAAGCACGTAGAAGATGCTTTTCCCACAGTGTGATTCAATACAGGCGCCCAGAAAGATGCTCTCAGATTTCATGTGTCTGGGTAATTAGCTGAGTTTGAGCGGCTCAGTTAAACCGTTTGAAGGTCAATAATGCATGAATTTCTGGCAGACTGCCTAGAAGAGCCCATAAACACACTTGTATAAGGACTAAACATGTTTATTTTGTGTTTTAAATATGAAATAACGTTAGGATTAGTTTTGCCTAGAATTTAATTTTATGGCAGATTCATGTTTTAGTGTGACACAGAATAGTTC